CTGAATATCTTTTCATCGGTTCTTCACTAAACAAAGGACAGAAGGAAGTCAGATGTCAGTGTACGTAAGATCCACTCCCTTGACGCAGAACAAATGACACTCCCAGTAGCCCAAGACACAACAGCTGTACCCATCCACTCTGGATACCACCACACATCCACCTGATGTGTGAGCCACCTGAGAAAGAGTAAACGTTTTCCAAACCCTTGCAAGAAGATCCATTTCTTCAGTACATTGTTAGACCCTAATACAAGAATTGACAAAAGTACCATTTCACTTTTGAAAGAGATAAGTCAGTATTTATATTGATAATAAAGGTTTGATTGCTTTTGATTAATTCAGCTTTTTTTGCTGCATGACTGGTTTCCATGGAAATGCAAGCAGATTAAAAACCTGCAACCAGAAGTGAGTCAGTTTTGCCTGTTTATGTCTCCTCAGTTCCCTTGGAAACAGACATTAAAAAAAAAAAGGAGTAAAAAGGATAAGGGTCCTGAAATACCTTTGGAAAATCTCTTCCCAAAGCTTTATCTCTTTGGTTGCCTTGCAAGAATTAGAGTTGAAAATACCACAGAGCAACAGATGACAGTGACTTGATTTTTTCAACGACATCAAGAGAACATACCTGGAGATATTTCAAAAACCACATTCAAACTGACAAGCTCAAATTGTATTAACATGGGTTTTGGCAAAAGTACTTCATGCAGAGTATATATTTCTTTAAATGAGTTCAATGCTAATGTAGAAAGAAATACAATAGAGAACAAGAAAATAGCATCATACTGTCCTTGTCCCAAGTATACTTCAATACTTTTAGAAAGAGGGAAAAAGTAAAAGCTCACTTGGGGGAATGAGTCCAATATTTCCATTGCCAGGATGCTTTGTAATGGAATCATTCCTGCCTTACAACACATTCATTTGAAGCTGCAAAATCAGCTATACACATATCAGGTTAAGTAACTCCATCTCCCACCATACTTTTCACAGACAACAGTGTACCCTCCTACGAGCTGTATCTTCACACTGGTGCAGACAACACCTTCCTTCCTCCTCAGAGCCAAATGCATCGGGGAAGGAATAGCATGGGAAGTTACTAGGAAAGAGGCTGCATGTGTGTCTCAGACCTTCAAAGCCTGCTCCTATCACTACCATTACTATGCAAGAATTCCCCAACAACCAAGTGGCCAGAAACACAAAGAACAGCAGTACAATTATTTGCTCCTCTAAGTTCCTTCTAAAATGTTCAGGACAGCTAAATCTGATTACAAACTATTTATTTCCTTGTTTGTCTCCCACATCACATTATCAGTTCTATGTGCTCAGCACACCTCCGTACAACTCAACACTTCATCAGAGAGCTGTGGAATCCATTGTTACTGCCTGTCTGGGAAGAACGTGCAGGGACAGCGCACATCTCTTACCACTACTGTCAGAGACTGAAGCTGCATTACAAACATCAGGAAAGAGAAAAAGGAAATCTGTCCTAAACCCTGCTCATGTACTACCCACCATCACCCGAACTCAAGAGGCCTCCTGCATTCAGCATTACACCCCTTATTTTTGTACTTTGCTGCTGCTCTGAGAAGTAACATTCTGACACCAACAAGAAACAAGGCCTGGGGAAGAGTAGCCAGTCATGATACTCACTAAAAGGATGAAAGAGAGGTAGCAATCACTGGAGGTTTATCTTGAATAGAAGAAGGAGTTGAACTTAATTCAATGTTAATTAGTTCACATTAGCCAAATTCAATCTATTCTTGTCACAGTAAAGATAAGCCTTTTAAAAATTTAATTATTTCCTATTCGCCTTTGTATTTTGGCAAGGTGCAGAGTCACACAAGAAGGAGAATAAGCTTGCAGTACTCACTAAGGCATCACTCAAGGAGGACAGATTTAACATTAAGTGGAGAACATTAAATGTTAAGAGAACATTAAGAGGAACACTGATATGTATCTTTCAGTCTATTTTGAAGTTTATCCTCCTTTCTTGTAAAGCTCAGGAGTACATATAAACAAAATAATTAGCTATTCATTTACTTTAGCAGCTAAATACACAAACATCTAAGTGTTAAGTTTAGAAGACTAGTTTACACAGTAAACCACTTTACAGTTACCATTCAAATTATTCCATGACAATGATAAGCACAGGCATCTTCTAAAACATTAACTAAACAAACCGCACAAGCAGCAAATAAGCAGATGAAGTTTTTTCCACCATGCTCTGCAACAAATTTTTTTATTTCCATTATTAAACATAGGTGTCAAGTTTACTAAAGCCAGTCTCTGAAGAGATTGCAAGGGTGTCAGGCGCTGGGATCAGCTTAGTTTCATACCTCCTCTAGCACAAAGAGCAGAACAAAGACAAATGTCACTGCTGAAGCTAGGGAGTCACTATTAAACAGATGAAAGGCACTGGTCACAAGAAAAAGAAAATAATTTAACAAAAAGATAACTCACACAAAATCAATAATCCTTGATTACTAAGAACCCCAAAATTAACACATCTGACTGAGTTTTGCCTTTGGGGACATCAGCATTATCATATCAATCTTAAGGAAATTTACAAGGTCACACAGTGCGTAGTAATTCAGGAAACAAAACCACAATGGTTACGCACCACCTATCTGGGGCACTTAAGTAAGCAAGGCTCCCCCTCAGCAAATACAAAGTATAATTGCCCCATTATACATTGTATCATATTACACAGTCTCAAGAAGGCCTATCATAGTTAAATAAGTAATTAAATCTGTCATTTGTTAACTTCCAAATGCTGATTTATAGAACATTATTTATTTAACATTAACTCTTCATATGATATTTCACAAAATGGGGTTTTATATTTCTACTTTATATTTGCATAAGTTCCCCCTGTGTTAAATTACATGATAAATAAATAGGGTTTGATGCATAAAAAAGTCTGAAGACCAACTGAAAACAGGTACCATCTTTACTGTTTCAAAAGTAACATCTGCCCCTTTACATTAGACTGCTGCTTATGCTTGTATTTTAAGGAACTACATTCAAAATTTAAAATACGACCCACAAAAGTGTCTAGAAGGAATAACAGTACAGCTTAAGTCAATTGTGGCAAGTGATAAAGAACAGTAAGCTAAATCCTCAAGTTAGCATCATTGCTTTGTACATGTTGAACAAGCTTAATGCAAGCATTGCAACTTCCAAGAATATATGAATGATACATTTTACACAAAAGATCAGAAAAAGGGAGACACCAAACCAAAGGTCTCTTATGTTACCTCATAGTGCTCCCTGTCAGAACATCCTGGGTACTCAAAAGCAGCCAATGCACTCAATAGAATCACTCTAACTAGGCTGCAACTTAGAGTCATCTTTCCAGGCAAAAGTGTTCCACTTATAGAAATCCAAAGCATCTGCACACAGATATGCAACACTGCACTACAACCCAAAGTTACTACAAAACTTCCCACGAACTGACATAATGTGAAATAACAAACAGCACACAAAGCTAAAGGCACAAAATCCAAAGAGGATTGCAGAAAGTTAGAGCCCTCCCCAGCACCTTGGTGCATAACACATAAACACATAGCTGTTTCTTCATTTGTAACAAAGATCACTCACAAGTTGTGGCATGAAAGTTTGTGGTTTTTTTGATTTTTTTTTTTTTGCAGGTCTTGGGAAGTCAAACATGATTTCCTGGTGGCATGAAGGAAGTAAAGGATGGTAGGTGGTATCATTTCATAACAGATCATGCAATAGCAGATATTGAAAAACTGCTCTTTTAAACACAGCTGTACTTATTTTCATGCAGGAAGCATTTTCTACACCTTGTCAACAAAAATGCTACACTCAAGATTTTTAACTCCCTCTCTGAAGCACAAACCTGAAGAAAAAATCCCTGCTCAGAAAAACACTATGCATCTCCTTTTACAGATTTAGTTTTACAATACTTGTTCTAGTCCAAGGCACCTCAGTAGTTGCCCTGTCAAAATCTGTGCATCAGCACAAGTGTCATATCCAAGTCATCATCTGTCATCATACAAAACTTCTTAGGAACACATAACAACAGATTTGGAGCACACATCGGTAGAAAAAATGCAAAGTTTAAGAAGCATTGCAGCAGAAACCTCTATCAGCATGCACAAAAACACAATACAGCAAAGAAGAAATTTGACCAGCGGCTTCTTGTCAGTTCTGGATCAGTGTTTTTCAGCTGCTGATCCAGGGAGCAACAGTCAGCCCTGAGACATCTGAAACAGCCTGTGGAACAGCTGCAAGGAAGGCTGGCTTGTGTTTTGGGCAGGAGGGGAGAGGAGGGAATTGTTTCCTTGTTTTTATATTTTCAATAAATAGGTCTTGCATGCAGGCAAAATCAACACAAACAAAAATAAGAGCAGCAACTGAGCAATCAAGCTTTAGCCTAATTTCATTGCAACTGTAACCTTCTATGGCCTCACTGCACAGTACAATCCTCAGATTGTATTCAATGAGGTCAGATGTCTCTTTGGGCTTAAAAAGGTCGAAAGACATCCTGTAGATGACAGATAGTTGGCAGATAATAACATGGAAGATAAATGGAAGATGAGGATTTCTGAAGGACAAAGTAAGAGGATGAGATAACCAGCATATATGATTACAGAAAGAAATTTAAATTCACCAGAGGGAAAAAACCAAACTTGTCTTAGATATCTTAAAATGCACAGAGGATTCGGGAAATAAAAGCCTCAACATACAAGCTCCTTATTTTGACAATTAAGAATCATTAACAGGATATTCCAAGAACCAAGGTCTCTAGTACTAGATTTATAAAGCATGAACCTGCTTTTGTACCCAGTAATAAAAGTAAAGCCATAAAGAGCATTAGGTAGTCACAAATTCGACCCCTTAAGCATACTAAAAGCTCTAGCGTTTGAGTGGGCTTAGTCACATCCCTGTAATACTACTAAATAAGCACCATCTCACCACTTGCAACTATTTAACAGACGATTTAGGCAGCCCAGAAACAGTTGCACCGTTCCCCTACTTACTTGAATCCTCCCATCTGAGAAGGTGCAACTTCCAAGCAGAATAGTACAGAAATCCCAGTACCAGAAAAAGGCAGAGGGCTAGCAGCAGGTTACGCATAAACACCAAGAGTCCCATCTTCACATTAAATCTGCTCTTCTACATGACCTGAGAAAGAAAAACAGGTTGAGGCTGGAGCCACCTTCTTCAACGGGCATCCTCTCCAAAACATGCAATCCTATCCCCACCATAACGCAGAGATCCCAAACCGCGCTCCTCCACAAGATAAAACACACGCGTTCCCCAAAGCGTGTTAGCGAAACACGAACCACCCCAGTCAGCCGTCTGTTCTGGCCGTCACAGGGTCAGCGCCACGCTGTGACAGAGCACCAGCCCGCTCCTGCCCACTTCACCCAGCGAGCCCAGCACGGCCCTGCCCGCCGAGGCCTGGCGGGCACCGCGTCCTGCCCACCCGCCCGGAGCGAACCCGGGCGCCGGGTGCCCTGCGGCCGGTCCCGGCTGGAGCCCCGCGGGGCCCCGGGCACGCCGCGCTGCGGGGACGCGCTGCCCTAGAGACGGTACCGGCACCCGGGGAGAAGGGCTCGCCGGGCCCGGGCAGGAGCGCAGCTGTCCGCCGGCTGACAGCTGCCAGCGGCCGGCTGGAGCCCGGCTATGAACGGGCAGCGGCGTCGCCACCGCCGGGCTGCCACCGCCGGGCTGCCCCCGCCTCGCCGCGCTCCGCTACGGGCTACGCCTCGCCGCGCCCCGCCGGACCCCGCTCGGCGCTCCAGACACTGTGAGCGGCCCTGCCCGCCCCCACCCCCGCCCCTCCTCACCCGGCCGCCGCCGGCCCCGGGCGCTCGGCCGCCGGCTGCGCCCCCCGGGCGCGGGGCTGCGGGCGCCGCCATGCCGGGCGCGCCCAGCGGGACCCGCCGCCGCCGGGGGGCGCCGCGGCCGCCAATGGCGCGCCTGGGAGGGGCGGGGCCCGCCCGCATAGCGGCCGCTGCCGGCCAATGGGACGGCGCGGGGTCTGGCTCCTCGGCCAATCGCGGGAGGCGCCCGCAGCCAATGGCGCGCGGGCAGAGGGTCCCCGCCGGAGGAGCGCTGCGGCAGGGCGGCGGTGCGCGTGCGCAGAGCGCCCCCCAGGATCAGTGAGCGGCGCGGCAGCGCTCCCCCCTCACGGCCGCCGCCGGGCAGCGCTCCTCCTCCGGTCCCGGCGCCGCTCCCCAGGCACGCCGTGCCACCTCCAGAGCACTGCGGTGCCTCCGGACATGGCCCTGGGTGGCCCCTGCCGGCACTGTACCTGCTGTGAGGCTCCGCATTGTCACCCCACAGCGCTACACCTCCCGCCAGCTGCGGCGCCTCAGCTCCTGCCGCGACACGGCAGCGGCCGCCCTCCAGGCACTGCACCTCCCTTCAGGTGCTGCACTGCCCGACCGCCGAGCACAGCTCCCATGGCCTCTCAGCCCTGCCTCGCTCTGCACAGCCAAGCTGCAGCCACGACACGGCAACACAGCCCTGGGTTTGCTTCCACCACTGCCTCACGCAGCACCTGTCCCTACTGCACCGTGCAGCCACTGCCTTCACACTGTCGTCTAGCTACTGCACACCCAACAAGGTCCTGCCCAGCCCCTGCATGGCTCTGCGCCACCTCCCCGGTGTGGCAGTCTCCACTGGACCACACCAGGCCGGGCAGCATGGACCTTCCCAGCTGCCCCTCCACTGCGCAGCACAGCTCAGACAGTGCGGCTTCCATGCGCTTCCCGGTATGTTACAGTCTCCACTTTCTCACTGCACATCTGCCCTCTGAGCACAGCAGCACTGGGACCAGCCTGCAACGCAGTCTTCCCACAGCATTGCCCTCGTTCTTGCTGGCCCCACAGCCTTCTAATGCTCCTTAGGCAGAGGACAAGTGACAAACTCTAATATAAAGCCTCTCAGGGATAGAATGACAAAGGGAAATTATTAGTCAGGAAGGGGAAAGTAATTTGAAAGGAAAGAAACAGTGAGGAATAAACCTGCATCCTTAGTGACCAGCCTGCCTGCATGGGTGCTAGTATGGCACCCACGCAGACAGGCTTCCAGAGCTACCACACTCCTCTGCAGAGACACAAGGGAGACACATGTCACACTGATACACCATTAGGTTTTTTGAATGCCACAACAACTTCTAGATACAGCACAGGAGACCAACAGACTCACACAAGCACCTTGGTATCACTGGCACCAACATCCCCTTGAGGAGGTATGTGGAGAGGGGACACAACCACATTCATGCAGCCCTGTCTATCTGTAGATCTACCCCCAAGCTACTGCTCCACCAACCCCCAGCTGGAAGGGCTGACCTGCTCAGGATGCTCGTTGCTCTGAAGGCAGCTCCCTTCCCTCCAGCTTCACGGCAAGCTGGCAGCCAGGGCTGGTGCAGGCAGCTTTCTCCTATGGCCCCAGCTCTGCTGCTGGGCTCATTTCTTCCAGCAACTCCACCAACTCCTGTGCCACATTATGTCTGGCTGGAGCCCAGTTTTACTTCACAAATGCTTGCTTTATGCCTGCTCCTCTCTTCCCCTCTTCATCCCTCCATCTGCGTAAGCTGGGTCTCATCTCCCTGCCTCAACCGCCCTTGTCCCTGTGACACAGAGCTGCTGCACTGCCTGCTGCCACTGCGCCACATCTGCTCCAGCTGTCCCCAGGCTTCACCTAAACCGCCCCCGTACCGCATTTGAACCCCGCGGTGTGTGGGCACAGCAGGTGATCTGATTTCAGCGATGAGATAAGCAGGGACCTACAGCACGAAGCCAAATAGCTACAAGTCTGGGGCTTGCTCCTGAGCCCGTGTTTGTCACTCAGGAAACTCTAACCCCGTTATCAGGTGTCAGTGTGCTGCTAAGAGCCCAGGATGAAGTCACCCTTCTTCCCAGCCTGGAAAAAACTCAGAAGGCGAGCGCTGTGCATCTTGGAAAATCAGGTACCAGCGCCTGGCAGCTGTTTGTTGGGCATGAGATGAATTAAGGCAATGATTAGTGGCGTGATTTGGTTCAAGTAGCAGGACTTTAGTCTGAACATGCTCCTACTTAGCTTACACATTTCATTTGCAGGCAGATGTCAAGCTGGATGTTGCTAGGAGATAGACAGCAGGGGAATAATTAAGTCTGATTAAATCCTATCATATTGCTGTGCTGTTTTCCAGAATGCTCTGGAGCTTTTTAAAGCCAAACTGACCAAATGATCAGGCAAGTGATCTAGCCCATCCTGCTCAACAAAACCCACCTGCAGCAAACCAGCTGAGCTTGCAGCTACCCATGTGTCTGCAGAGAATTTTCTACAGCAGTACTGGCCATGATCTGGAGAAAAAAGGTTCTGGCAGAGGGCACAGGTGGTAGCTGCATTAGCAGGTAGCATAAAACAGTTAGGGCTGGTCACTGCTTGGAGCAGGCAGCGAGGGGTCCTACCCTTGTGTCCCTGCATCAATGCTGCAGAGACACTCTTGTTGGACTAAGCATGACTTGGACACACCAGCATGACCATAAGCATGACCATAAGCCCTTCTTCTGAAAGGAGCCCACCTGAGGCATGCCAGAATTGCTCTGCAAATTCCCCTCATGTGCATGAGGAAATGCTGAGCAACATCTTTTCCCACCAGTAAATTAAGTTAGGCTGTAACTATCTGTATAACATGCCAAATACACACATCAGCCTCCAGGCTTCCTTCATAGAGACTTCTAATCTAATTTTGTTTCTTTACCCTATAAAAATTACTGTTCTAATACACTGTAATCCTTCTCCTCAAATGAAACGTCATCAAATCAGACCAAATACTAATTAATGCAATATTTTATGATTAATTATATACCACTATATACCACAGCAAAGATCTCTTTCAGTAAGGGCTAGACAGAGATTACCTCTGCTGATGCACAGGCTCAAGGAATGCAATCTGGGCTGGAAGACACTTGTAGTTTGTCTTATCTCTCAGACCAAACTTGTTTCGTCTCACACAGGCATTAAGTATTATTCTTAAATGCAGACTCTGAACATGATCAGACTGTGGAGAACACTTTACATATGTGGTGCTCTGGCTACTTTAAGAACAGAAATGTTAAACAGCATCAGCACCAGGCCCACACAAAACAGGTTAAAACAATCTGAACTTGGCTCAAAAATTCTTCCACCCTCCAGATGTTTTCAACAGCAAAGAATCACACTTACCACTTTGGGAGCAAGTAAACACCTGGAGCTGCCTGATTGCCTCCCCAAGTGCTCTGCCTGACTGGACCAGTTTTCCAAGGATCTTCCTCACATGAAGTGACCCAATGGGCCTGCCTGGCAGGTGGCTGTGCAAGTGCAAGCCCCTGGCCAGCACCCTGCTCAGCAGTTCATCTCCTTGCAGCAATTCCAATACTCTATGTTTGGTTCACTCATAGTTTCCAAGAAAGGAGGTAGGCTTGAATTAAAGACTCCCACTTTTCTGGGTCTGTTTCAGGAGTCCCTCACCCTCATGTTCAGAAGAGCATCCCACCTTCCTGTGTCTGGCTTCAGCTTGCAGACATACAATTTTATTCTGCCTTCTGCTTGATTAAAGATCCTTTCAGAGGCTGGCATATTCTCTTTGTGACACTACACATATGCTGCAAGCAAACCCCCTCTCATCCATCTTTCTGAAAAGCTAAATATACTGAGTTGCTTAATTCTCTTTCTGCCAGCCTTTTCCTCCCACCCTCAAGCCATTTTTTGCCTTTCTGCTCTATAGAGCCTCTCTGATTTTCCTGAATCCTTTTCAAGACATAGAATCCCACAATGAGCATCCCTAATGCTTTGACACAGGGATTTAATCTGCTTTTCCTATGTTCTGTCTTAAAAGGCTGCATTAGTCCTTTCTACCATAGCATCAGGATAAACATTCAGGCAGGATCCTCTCGAATCTTTTCCAGACCCCCTGCTGGCAGGTTAGAACCACCTGTATCTCGGCAGCACATCCAGGGACTGATGAATGGAGTTTGCTGGTTGGAGACACCTCCACTCCCACACACCTCTCTCCCTTACTCCCTTGTCCTAGAATCATAAATGTCATGATTACCACGTTTGGGGGGTTAGGGAGCTGAGCTTGGCAGGCCTTAGGAAGATTTGCTGAGCCATCCAGGAGCAAATATCCTGCTCCCAGTAGGTTACTGCACCATGAAAGAGAGGAGAGCACAGAAGCAAGCAGTGCCTGCTGGCATGCAGGCTGGTTTGACTGTCTGGGAGATATTTTGCAATGCCTGTTAATATTTTACCCATTCTGTCCAGAGTGACAACGGTCACTGTAGAATCTGTGCACTGACTAGTTACCAGGCTGCACACCATGAACACAACCTCTTAAAAATAATAGGCTATGTGAAGATTCCATCTTTAATTCTACTCCTTAAGAAACCAGCTAAAATAAGCCCCCCCCCCCCCCCAGCAGCCTCCCCAGTGAAACCTACCTGAGATCTGGGAGTGAAATAGGGAGTCTTGCTCAGCCCAGGTGTCATCACTGGACATCACAGTGCATTTCTTCATGCCAGTGCTGCAGGAACCTTAAATGAGTCCAGCTCCAGCTGTGGCCATGCTGCCTCTCTGAAGCCAGGAGTGCTGTCCTTGAGTTTCTGAGATGATTGCTGAATAAATGTGAATTTCAGGGACGCTTGGAACTGTGATGGCCACGAACCTTAATGGGTTCATCTTGAGCTCTCCAGACAGGCATTACCCAATTCCCATTCATACCATAAAAATACCTGGAAGAGTCAGGTGAAGCAGGCAGGCACCATCCAGCCACTGCCACCTCTCAAATGGGAATGGGAGGAGTGACTCCATCTCACATGCTGTCACAGAGAGGAGGGAATTTGGCAAAGCAGTGGCACAAGAAGAGGCTGCAGCTCCCCAAACCAGGCACACTCATGCTACAGGCCCAAGTAATTTGCAAACAATTTGATGATTTAACCACAGACTCTCCCAAATACATGTGTTAATTTTTAATCCTGGTAGGAGGCCAGCATAAACTAAAAGGCCAAAGCAATGGGCAGAAAACTGGCAGAGAGCCCCAGTCTACCACTGGGTAGGTGAAAGCACAGCTAAGGGCATCCCAAGGCTGTTATACAGGGAAACTCCTTCCTAGGCAAAAGAAAGTTCTTGGTGCTGAGAGTAGGAGCATTTATAGAGAACACTTTGCCTTCTCCACTGCTTTCAGTAATGCTGCAGGATGTTAATTAAAAGTATGTATTATAAAGAATTAATAAGACTCAAGTAGATTAACAACTACACATATTTACAGCTACATTCTGATATCTGTCAGTGAGCCAAGGCTTAATGGGGAGATTTAACAACAGGAAGCCTACCTAGACCCCCAGTGACCCTGGTCCAGTGCCATTTAATAGGTCTTAATATCAACAGTCTGGATGACAAGATGAAGGCTTACATTTGGGGCTGATTAAACACTGAATGCTGCTTGCTGCTACAACATGAGCTGAATGGCCTGGGTAAATTATAACAGCCCCCAGCACAATGATGGGCTGCAAAGGAAGGTTCTTGGGAACGGAGAAGACAGGCTGTACTGCAGGGTGGAGAATCCCCCTGAAAGTGGGGGTGGAAAGTGAAATTAAGGAAAAAAGCTGCCAAAGAGCTGTCCCTACACATGACTGTTACCATAAACCTGCAACACAGTACCCTGGCTCTGAGAGCCGTGAGTCAGAGGGGCATGGAGGGGACTTCCAAGCAGAGCTACAGGTCTGGCAAAGCCAACTTGATGTCCAATCCAGCTATCCAAACTTCAGGCACAGAAATCCCAAGGAGCAGCAACACCACCACAAAAAAGAAGCTAAGGGTTGGAAATGCGACAAACAAGGCTGCACAGGATATGAAGAGTACAAGCTACTTCACTGCTCCAGGAGAGAGTCTCCTCACAGCCAGAGGATACAGAGTACTGCTATAGGCGGAAGGAAATGCAGAAGCCAAAGGTGAGAAGTTGAAGATGGGAAAATCTCAAGCCTGGAATTAAGTACAGCAGTCACTGAAGGCTGCAGAGGCAGTCATCCTTACCATGAAGCAGCTTACAAAATAAGTTCAGATCTCAACTAGATCTCAACAAGTTTAAGGTCTCAACATTTTTTGACATCTGTAGCTCAGGCATGAAGAAGAGATGCTGCATGGACATGCTTGCTGTTTTGCCCTGACCTGTAAGCACCCCTCCTGATCTCCTGTATAAACAGCTCCAGCAGCACAAGGGAGGCCAGGACTGATTCCTGCAAGCCAGAGAAGGCAGTGGAGAAGGGGCAGAGGGCTCTGCCTGAGGACAGTTTTGCTCACCTGCTCTTCCAGCTCATGCACATGTCTTTCTAAAAACAGGCACAACAGCCTGAGCTGGCTCTGTGGCATTACACTACCTGCAGCAGTGCTCATTGCCAGCCCTTGACCCAGGGAATGCGTAATTTCCAGCCTGGAGCTTTAATTACTTGCACTGGAGCAATCCCTTGTGCACCTTAAGCTGGTCTGCTATCGTGATAGGGCCACTAGCCATGGGCTCCTCTTTTCATCCTGTTCAGCCTGAACCTCCTCTCCATTGCTCCATGGTGAACTGGAGCCTCTGAACCCAAGTAATGCACCAACAACCTTCATACAACACAGCAACAAACTGTTTGTTACTCATACTTGTTTGAAGAAACACACATGCGTAAGTGAGCTGATGCCAAAACCCACAGCATAAGCACAGCAGCACAAGTACCCGAGTCAGTGCCCACTTCAGGTTTACAAACCTTCCCCATTTGTGTCACTCTGGTCTCTTCCCCACGTGCCTAAAGGAAATGGTCAGCAACGCTGCCTTTGGTAAGCAACTCCCAGGGTATGCCTTGTCTGCAGAGCCACAGGCTGCACCCCTGTGGGTGACTGCCCCTCTCAAAACCCCGTGATGCATCAAGGGACATCAATACCTCCCAGGGTGCAGGGCCATGAGCCCAGAGAGATGCTCTTGAAGCATCCTACCTCCCACACATCTGAGACCAGGGCAAGCATAATGCTTAGGAAAGAGATCAAAGAGATGGGAAGTAGCCAGGGCAAGGAGAAGCAGGAGGAAGATAAAGCACCAGGCACCTCAAATGATGCCAGTCACTGGAAGGTGGTGGGAGGAAGTGCTGGTGCTACTAGTGGAGGTGCTTCCTAGTTGGTCATGAGAACAGCTACCTGGCCTAGGGCACTGGGTTGGTAGGGCAGCTAACAGCTGAGGTAGCCCTGCCATGTCCCAGGGCCTTTCTTCCCCACTCCTGAGTGCTGAGGCTTATCTGCTCCATCTTGACAAAAGGAAGAAAAGAGAGGAGCCACCAGGCATGTCACATGCCACAGGAGCTGTGTGAGAGTGTGCAGGGGCTGTGGGTTCAGTTTGCCCTGCCCTGACCCCTGTGCTCCAGGATGTGGCCAAGAGTTTTGTGCTCTGCAGGACATAAACATGCTCGGTTTTGGAGATTCAGCATTTGTGACAACTTGTGCATTCCTGCAGCTGCTTTGCATAACAGGGAGAAAGGCCTCTGGGTGCTCTGTTTGCTGGCAGGATGTGGATGTGGGCTAATAGCAGCCATGAAGAGGCAGCTGCCAGCCACAGGCAGGGGACACAGACAGAAGGGTGATGCTGAAACACCTCAACACCACCCCCCCATCCGAGTACATCACTTGAAGTCACACAAATCTATGTTGGTATGAGTGAGAACAGGACTAAGGGGACACTGGATCCTTGCGTAGTAAGTGGGATCCTAAACAGTGTATGTACAGAGCTGCCAGCCAGTGGAGGACTTTGCCTCTGTCCCAGCAGACATGGGGGACCAGCCAGGCCAGCAGGTCCTTGTTTTTGGTTGTAGCCCACCCCACCCAGCCACAAGAAGGTGGGGACAAAACTCCACCTCTGCAACGAAGCTTTTCCACTCTGCTCCATGGGAACCAACTTCCTATGCTACAGCCGAGGGAATGTGAACTTTCTGCAGCCACAGCTATGCTGGGGGATGCTGTCAGATCCACAGGGTCAGGCAGAAGCAGCTGCTCAGGGCTGGAGCTTTCCAGGTATCAGTAGCCAGTCGAGGGAGGTTTGCGCCTGCAGCTGAACTGGTCCTTCCAATGAAGGGATGGGGTAAGACAAACACAGTGAGGTGCTGGTATCAGTGACACCCTCCCCAACAGACTGGTTCCTGGTGGATAGGGTACATTAGCACCACTGCTTTCTGCAGTCACCCAGACAAGTCCTGTGTTCAGAATCCAGCACCTACAACCCACCCGGGTTGGCATTTGAGCCCTGGTGTGAAGCTGGGTAGAGCAGCCTGCTCCAGCCCAGCCCAGCTTCCCTCTAACCTAACCACAGACCGTTGTGTAGGACAGCTCTCCCCTCTGCCAGCACCCACAACACAGTCATAGCTTGGCAATGTCACCTCCCAGCAGCACTGTGTCATTGTGTGTGTGTCCAGGGCATTGGGGACCTGTTTCATGCAAGGCCTCCCCCTAGCAGTGCTGAGGGACCAGCTTCAGACAAGCCTGGCCACAGGAGACAGCCTTGTGCCACAGATCTCCTGTCCTCCATCAACTCACCCCAGCCACCTCCAAATCACTGCTGCTTCCGCTCCACCAGTTGCGGCCCCACACAGGGCTCTGATGAAAGGGGAAGCTTTGATATCTTCTTCCACAGAATTTTCCAATAAGCCCTGCAGAAAAGCCAAACTCCTCAGCTGAAATGGCTCCCCAGTTCTGTGACAGCAAGTGACCCTGTGCAAGCCTGTCACTGCCATGCTTCAGTCCTACAGTTTGATATTCTTCCTTTTTCTTCACAAGCCAGGAAATACCCTTAACATCAAGAGCCAGTGAGACCTGGGGAATTCATAAAGCTGCTCTCTCAAAAGCAGTGAAGCTGAACAAGTTCAGCTGAACAAGTTCAAGTTCAGGATGGTGGTATCCTGCACCAGTAGCTGCTCCCAGCAAGCCCAGAGCCACAGCACCTGGTCAGTGCTGCCTTCCCTGGGGGAGGGGAAGCTTCTCCATTGCACCAGGTGGCTGCAGCTGGGAGAGGCATCGCATGGTCTGGATGTGGAGTGAGCCTGTCATCTCTCCCTCATCAGCACAGCCAGGCCTAAAAATATCCCAGAGTAGGCTGATGGTGGTTGTGCTACAGTCTCCATTATGCAGATGAAAACAGCTGGTCCATGCCAGAATGCCTGGGAAGCACCAGCTCCTCTGCCCTGCACTGGCACAGGATCTTGGGATCCTGTGCTGGGCTGCAGAAATCTCCATAGGAGAGAGGTGCTAGGGACAGACCACGGCACAGAGCATCCAGCCAGGCACAGCATCACTGCTAGGGATATCCTGGTCAGGGCAGACAGCTCCATAGGCTTTGTCCCTCCGGGATGCATGGGACTGAGCATGGTGGGGAAGAGGGGAACGGAGTTTCACAGCTCTGCCATGAACTCTGAACAGTAATGAAATGGGGAGCTGCCCAGACAGCACATGATGAGTCAGAAGTGCACCCAGGCAGCTGAACTGACAGCACTGCGTGTGCAAGCATAAGGGTACACGGAGCTAGAGGACAAGTTAGCAGAGCAGCCAGAGCATGAGTGGGATGAACCCTCAGCCAGCCCACAGGAAGAGCCAGAGAAGCACAAGAGCAAGGGGCCAAATTTACAGCTTGGTGAGGAAGAGAGCTGGCTGGCTTTGTACCCTGCAACATGCTGCCAAAAAGCAAAGCTGCCAGCTCCTCCCTTCCCACCCCTGCACATCCCAAATCCACAGGGTGTGACAGTGAGCACAGCTGCTGACGCTGAGCCTCGGGCAATCGCTCACCCAATAAACCTGACCGAGTGGGAAAAGCAGCAGAGACTGCTGGAGAAGTCAGGAAGGATGTAGCAGCTCCTGTAGGAATGGCTTACAGAATAATATCATGAATCCAGCACCAGAGATTCTGGCTCTGATACAGACTCTTGGCTGGAAGGCAGAGTCTGATTTCATTCCAGCCTCAGAGGTGTCCCCAGGATGTCACAATCACCCTTGACCACAAACCTGAAGTGCTGTTTACTCACCCTCACTGCATGGTGTGCTCTCCTCAGATCCCGGGCCAGCAGGGCAAGCCCCCTGCACAACTAAACTTCTCCTGGAACAGTGACCCAGCATCAAGGCCACACTGGCTGGGCAGCACTTCCCAGAGGCACATGCTCCAAGCACGGACCTGTCACACCTCTCCCTGCACGAGACTGTTGGCAGCTCCCACAGCCTGCATGGAGCTGTTGCCTGGGATCAGAGCCCTGAGCAATCTCACCTGCTTGTAGGGCTGGAGGAGAGGTTGTGCTGGGAGAGCAGTGAGCCCAAAACACCATATGGCCCAGCCATAGGCAGGCATCTGCTCACTGGGAAGTGGAAAGTCTACTTCAGCAGGTACCAGGCACCTCTCCAAAAAGGCTGCACAAGGGCTCTTCTGTCCAGTGGCTTCTGGAGGAAAGATTCTCTAGGCAGGCTCCAGCCTGCCTGGAGAGGGGGCAAGGATCTGCTGTGAGAGGTGATGACAGTCCAGCCCCTAGGATCACCCTCATAGCCCTAGCCCTGCACTCCCTGTGGGAATGATCTGCGCAGCCTCCACACAGCCAGTGCACTACTGGAGGCTGCTTCTTTGCAGCGTGTGCACAGAAGGCAAAAGGACTGATCCAGATCCCACAGGTCTGCCCCCACCAGATGACAGTGGAGGACACACGGAGGCAGGAGGGATCCTGGGCAGCTGTCTCAGCCAGCATCGTCCAGGGTAGCAGTGAACACACCAGGCTCCTGGAGAAAGACCTCCCCAGCACACTGTGCCAGTGCAATGCCCCACACAGGCAATAGTCCAGCCCAGAATAGGCAGGGCAGTGGGGCAGGAGAGACCTCACTACACTGGGCTGGAACCCCTTAAAAGGGCTCCTCTCGAGAAGGTGAGGAGTGAGGAGCAAGAAGCCCTGCCTCGTGTACTGGCCCATCAGGTGCTGACGTGCCTGGCTCCCAGCCCACCAGCTTGGAGTCACGCAGCTCCCATGAACGCTGTCTTTCTTCTCCCGGCTGCAAAGCCCTTGGCAGCCCCTCACCTGCTTCAACTGGGGATGGAGAAGAGCCAAGAACTCTTTTTCTGTCCTTTCCCCTTACCAGGCTCTGCATATGCTGAGGGCCCAAGTTGGGGGTCTCCCTGCTGGTGACAGCACTGCAGACCTCTGCTCCCAGAGGAGTCACCCTCCAACCAGTGAGGAAAAGCAGGGTTGGCTCCAGCCCCACTGTGTGGACAACTGAGGGTCCAAACAGGATTCCCTGTACTACCTCTGCAAATGAAAGAGAGAATGGCAGAATATGAGCATTTACACTTCTGCCAGTCCCTGTGGAGACCAGCAGTTAAACAGTGTTTGGAAACATCTATCCAGCTGGAACTGGGAAGGCTAGAGAGGATTCAGGACAGACCCATCTCTGGCTGCCAACACAACTGCTCTCTTCATCCTGCGCTGGCTCTGCTGGGCCTGGACAAGCAAAGCTGTGTTCCTGCTGCAGAGCCAAGTAGCCTGGGCAGCCATCCACCACAGGCAGCCACAGTTCCAAACCACATGGGCTGCTCAGCCCTTTGGTGTAGCCACTTCCTATCACCA